ACCCCAAGAGCAAAGCAAAGCAAAGCCGCAGCACCAATAAAGGCAGACCAGCAGGCAGGCTCAAATAGGAAACCAAAAATGCCTCCGGTCTCCCCTGAGGACAACCACAGATGCACCATGAGGGAAGGAGAGCTGCAGATAAAGCTTTATCAGTGCCCAGGCATTCTCACCACACCAGCCCTGATTGCCCCAGCAGTCTTTCAAGAGTAGGAGGCGACTGATAGGGGATGTGCAGAGGCTGCTGCTGCCCTGGCCCCACTCCTGCACCCTCTGACATGCAAGGAAGTCGCCAGCCCCAACTCTGTGCTCACCGTTAGGCCGAATGTTGATGAACGGATAGTTGGGCATCACCAGCTTGTTGAAGTTGAACTTGTAAGTAAACCTTTTGCCCTTTGTCTTGTGAAGAATCCTCTTGTTGTAATAATATCTATAAAAGGAAGGTAGAGAGACCAATCAAGGCACGTGGAGATCTGCTTAAGAGTCTCTGTTTTGTAATGCTACCAACATCCACCTTTGACATACTCACAAAAATGAACATGATGGGATCCGGAACTGACTTAGCTGACAGCCTGCACTGAGACACTGAACCTGAGAAAGGGGAATCTGTACTTGAGATTTTAGCAGAACAAAACTCAGTGCAATGGCAGGGGGACCAAACAAACCGGATGCCCTCTGGTTTTGTTTTCCCTTCTGTCCTCAAGGCTTAGCACACTGCCACAAACACAGCACAGTGTACAAAGCATCACGCTGCACATCAGGAGGGCTGCTTCCTGCTGCCATCAGGCCTGTGAGCAAGTCGCTGCCTTTCCATTTACCCATTAGCACCATAATTCACAGCCCCAACAAAGGCAGAGCACGGGAGAGGAGGTACAAACTTCACCACAGCCTCCTCCCCATTTACACCAGCACCACTGTTTGTCCTCAGCCATGTAATAATGGCGTGCTAAGGTGCTTCACGCAGATCCCAGACACAATTTTTCACACTCAGAGCTAGGTTAACACATGCTGTTGCCACAGCAAACCCCAAATAAAGCAGCGTCAGCTCCTCAAGAAGGGGGGGAAACAAGCCAGAGCTCCCCACCTGGAGCAACTGTCAATAGCCACAGTGCTCCTGTCCCACTGCTGTCACATTTGGCACCGAGATGCCAAGACATGATCAGTGTTGGCAGGTGGTGGCTATTTTCCACTCCCATGAATCAATTACAGCCTCAGCGCCATTCAATTTATCGTTTCCTTCCTGTTCCAGCATGGGACTCGAGTGCTTGCTGCCTTGTTTGTCTTTGCCAGCTCCACCCAGGAGGTATCATAGGGCGTAAGGCAGCGAAGTCCACGTAGCAGACAGTGCTGATAATGCCAGGACCTGTCAAGAACCTGGGTGCTCCTGACGGGCTGGAAATGCTTCATAGGCTTGTATGACATTCTTACAGTCTGTATTTCAAAATACAGATTAGCCACTGAAAAAACAGAAACCATCTGAGAGAGGCTAAATAGAACAGAGCTATTAAGGGAGATTTTAGTCTTTGGAATTGCAGAGGGAGGAGCAATCAGCCCCTGTCTCCAATGAGGGGACATCGGTGGCTGGAGGGTGCCCTTCACCCACAGACAAATTCATGTCGTTGGGGTCAGGACATGGAATTCACTGCTGTATGTGACAAAGCGTGAAGGGGGTGGTGACAGGTGACTGACACACCCCCAATCCCTGGAACGGGCACCAGGTTTAGCAGTAAAGAGACAAAGGCATGTTAGAAAGGGGAGCTGCTTTCTCTGAAACTGTATCGTTGATGGTGTGATAATAGAGTAACGCCTCTGGTTTCCTCCCACACCTTCTTGCTCAAGCCAGCATCAGCAGTGGAAGCAGTGAAAAAAAGAGACAGAAAAGCTCCCCGGAAGGAACCCATCCTGATAATAACAACCTGAGCACCAGGTGCAAATTCACGCTGTGACGCTTGGCCGCAAAACACATCATGGTGATCCAGGAATTCCCTCTCCTGTGTCTCCCTGCTCACACTCTGGTACCTGGCCTGACATCCCAGAACACAGATCCGATACAAAACCACCCCCAAAAACGTAACTGCGTTGAAGCAAAAACACCTGCTGTCAGTTATCCAGATGGGTGGCCCAGGGAATCTTCTGCTCACCTGAGAGCTCGGCTCAGCTTGTCGTAGTTCATTTGGGGTTTGCACTTCCGCCGGCCCCACAGCCGTGCCACCTCGTCGGGGTCCTTGATGACGAACTCCCCGTACTCGCCCTGCTGCCAGGCAATGACATGGCGGAACTCCTCCTTCTGCAGCAGCTCCAGGATGAAGTGCCAGAGCTGGATCTGTCGCGAGCCAGGGCTGGACTCGGTCTTGTATGCCCACTCGGGGAAATGATAACCTTGGGAAGTGCCAAAAAAAGAGGCGTTCAGACAATGGCTCACAGCTACAGAGCTCCCAAATGCCAAGTGCTACAGCTGGGAACGAGTGCCTGCGCTACGTATTGGTAATGTTCTTTCCAGAGGAGGACCACAGAGCATCGCTGGGAGCTGTAATTCCAATAAGTATTCAGTGCAGAAGCAAAAGAAGCCCAGATTTCTCACACTAGTTGCTCATTTTCTTACTCATTTTACCCCTACTCTCCTTGGAGAAATCCCAAGGAAAAAAAAACAGGAAAACACACAGAGGTATGAGAGCCATACAAGAGTCAGACACGGTGGAAAGGAGCCCAAGAGCTTTAAACACTGGGACGATTCGGACATCAGGTGCCTCAAAATAACGAGAAAAACCAAAACAGATTGGAATATCTGGTGCACTGTTCTTTCAGGAGGCAAGCATGGGTGGCTCTGGGGGTCTCCAGCTCCACATCCCTCAGAACACAGCACCCTGCTCCAGCCCTCAGCCACGCCAACAGATGTTTCTGAGCGACTGCCAAGTTCAGCTCTGTCAGAGCAGTTTCCCAGCACAGCTGCTATTGCGCGGTTTTCCAAATCGTCGTGGCCACAATTTTCAGCTCAGGCAGCGTGCGCAGAGCCTCATCGTGCTCAGATGGCACCCACCCCCCTCCCTCAACCCCCCCCTCCCACCTCCCCACATCGCAGGCTGCGGCTGAAACAAACCCAGGGAGCGCAGCGCCAGCCCTGGGGGGAGCACACTTGGAGCTCCCAAACCCTCACAAACAAAATGTCTCCACGAGGATCCATTTGCATATTAACACAGAGCTCACGAGGCTGTAAAACTGGCTGAGAGTGCACCGAGCGGGAGCCTTATCGATTCCCAGTGACACACAGCAAAGAGCTTTGAGGAGAGGTGGAATTAATCCCGCCTGAGCTCCTTCAGCCTGGGAAAAGAATTTGTAACAGCTGAACACCCTGCGCTCAGCCTTCCACGGGGCGCGCGTGTCCTTACCTCCTCCTCCTTCTGGCTTATCCACAATGCTGCAGCCTGCTTTCATTTTCTCCCTCCTGCTGACTGCGAAACAGAAGGAAATCAGCGCCAGCGCTATCGCTACAACGACCTCGCGGGCAGCGCTTTGAATCCCAGCCCTCCCCTCCCTGCACCCGCACCCCACCGTCGGTGCCCCCGTCGCCGTGCAGCTGCACCGTGGGGCGTCGGGCTCTGCTCGGCGCTGCCGTGTCGGAGCGGCCCGGCGGGGCCGTGAGGCAGACAAAACAAGCCCAGTGCAGTTTGTCTCCTGTTACGAGACGGCCGCGCTGCCAAAACACACAAGCCGCTGAGCTCACCCAGATGTACCAGCGAGGGGAGGGGGGATCCCGGCTCCCGCTCCCCACTCACATCTGACTTTAATTTCGGGAGGCGGGCGCCGGGCCGGGCGCTACCTGCGGGCGGGGCAGCGGCACCGAGCGGCGCCCGGGGAGGGCCCGGCTCCCGGGGGGGTCGGGGGCGAACGCCGCCAGCCCTGCCCGCCGCGGAGGGGGCCCGGCCCCGCGCTGTCCCCGCCGGGGTTTCCTGCCCGGCGCCGCCGCTTTGAAATGGTAACGCCATGTAAATAGCTGCGAGGGGCAGGCGCGGCGCCGGGGCTCCGGGCTCCCGTTACAGTGCCGGCGGCGGGGCCGCCCCCTCCGCTCCCTGCCGCCGGCCTGTCCGGGCCTGCCCGCCCGCCGCCGCGCTGCCGCCCCTGCCCCGGGCTGCGGGCGCTGGCTCCGCGCCCCCCCGCTACTACGCCCGCCAAGATCGGGCCGAGCGGCCGCCCCCGTTACCACCACCCCTCCTCCGCCGCCATCCCGTCGCTCCCGGTTACCGGTACGCTTCTCCACGCTGCCCCCGCAGCCGCGCGCCCCCGCTCGCCTCCCGCACGCTGCCGCCCACCCCCCACCCGCACGGCTCCCCACAGTCATAGGGAGCCCCCACCCCACCGAGCGCCTCCGGTAACCGGGGCTGCCCCACTCCTCCGCCCCTCCCTCCGGGCCCACGGTACCGCGGCCCCGCGCCGCCCCCGCCCCCGGAGCCGCCCCCGAGGGCACCCCCGCCCCCGGCGGGCGGCCTCCGCCCCTCTGTCCGTCCTCCGTCCGCCCTCCGCTCTCCCCCCGCCGCCTCCGCGGGACCGAAGCGACGCGCGCGGCGTGGCCCATCCGGAGCCCGGGAGGCGGCGGTAACGACTCGGCCGCGCCCGGGTCCGGGACCCACCTGCGGGGGCGGCACGGGCCGGGCCGGGTCCGGCGGGCGGAGCGGGTGCGGTGGGGCGGCGGAGCGCGCCCGGGCCGCGGTGCCGATGGGGGGTGCGCGCCGCTCGCCTCGCTGCTGCCGCCGCTGCCTCCCCCGCACGGCCGCCGGAACCGGAACCGCCGCCACCGCCCACACACTTCCGGGCACGCTCCCACGCACTTCCGCTTCCGGTCGGAGCGGGCGCGCGCACGCACAGCGCCACTCCGCCTCATTCCCGCCCCGCGACGGGTGGCGGCGGGGGACAATAAAGAGCGAAAAGCGAAGTGCTTCGCGGGGGGTCTTGATGCGTTCACCCCCTCCCCACAGTCCCTCCATGCGCACGGACACTCTTTCCTCTTCTCTGCCTTTATTGGGGCCGTGCACAGCCCGGGGCCGCGTGGAGCACCACCAGGCCCGTGTTCTATGGGGAGGAAGGGGAAAGAACACGGGGAAATAAAGCAAGATGGGGGCAGGCTGTCCGGCTGTCCATCCGTCCGTCCGTCCATCGTCGCTCAGGCTTGTGGCCACGCTGTGCCATCCCCAGTGCTCCCCACCTCACTGTAGATGGTTCTGCTGGGACCCTTGAGGGGATGTGGGAACGGCCCAGGGTCGGGGGGGGTGGCTCCGTGGGGACGTTGCCATCCCCACCCCCTGCTGGGTGCTGGCTCACTGCCCCACCTGCTCATCCCTGTCCTCCACATCTCTCCTTTGCACCTGGGAGTACAGCAGCTCCTTGGGGCAGGCGGCAGCTGTGCGGCAGGTGAGGCCATGAGGGTTGGGGACGGCCCCCTGCCGCCTGCTTGCAGCCCCCCAGACTGCAGCCTTCACCCCACAGCATCGCCCACCTCTGTCAGCCTTTCTCCTCCTCTTCAGCAGGTACAGCGCGATGCTCAAGGCTCCCACAACGCCCACCAGCACTGCCAGGTAGATGGGCCACCTCCACCTGTGTGCCTCTATGGGGACAAGGTATTGGGATGGCTGGCTGGCTCTGTGCACCTGGTGTGGCAGAGGGGGACAGTGAGAGACTTTACCTTGTGCACACAGTTCTGCCAGGTCCACGGACTTGCTCCGCTTCTGTGCCGGGTTCCAGGCCACACAGGTGTAGATGACATTCAGGGTGCTGGCAGGAATGGTCAGGTGCAACATATGACTGTTGTAACTCTGTAGCCAAGTTGCACTGGAGGTGTTTTCATGCTGCCAGGTGGTCTGAGCACCACTTCCAGCCGGCACCAAGCACCGCAGGATGATGCTGCAGTTCTGGGCAGTGTAGGACAGCATCTCATGCTGGATCAGGGGCACTGGCACAGGCTCTGTTGAGAGTGTGGGCAGTGCTGCTGGGACAGAGCTACCTGCAGGAACCTGGGGAATGCAGCCTCAAGGAACCGGGAGGGACAGGCAGACAAAGGGCAGTGAGAGGGAAGTGCAGGTGGAGAGCAGATTTGTCATAAAGCAGGAAAATCCCCTTAGCAGATGACCGGCAGCAGAGTGCGTCCAGGAAAGGGGAAGGGAAACCGCTGATAACTCTGGGTACAAAAGGGTTTGTCACATTTCCCTGGGGGCTGGAAACCCCAGGGATGGGGATGCTGTTCCTGCCCCCACAAAACCCCTTCAGCTCACCATAGACAGTGAGGTTGAAGGAGCTTTCATCCATCTCGTTTGACTGATACGTGATGTGTGCATCATAGACCCCACTGTCACTCTGCTCCAGGGCACTGATCTGCAGTGTTGTCTCATTGAACAACTCCAGCCGCTGCCTATTGTATTTGAAACGCTTGGACGTCTCCAGGTTGTACTCAGCCACTTCTATTTTCTTGCTGGCATTGGCTCTGAAGCTCCAGATGATCCTCTTCACACTGCTGCCAGGCTGCAGCTGCAGAGGGAGCTGCACCGAGTGCCCCAGCACACCGCTCACTGGCTCGATCTGGACAGCTGCAGTGCCTGGTAGGACAGCAGTGCTCAGTGGGATGGAGAGTCCCAGGCACCCTCCTGGGTTCTTTAACCTTCACCATCACCTCCCCTGCCTGTGGCTGGGCACTGCTGTGCTGATGCCGCGTGCTCGCAGTGCTGTGATGTCCTCACACCACCCTGTCCCCATTGCAGAGCTGGAGGTGGAGCAGGCTTAAGGGCGAAGCCCATAAGCACTGGAACAGGCTGCCCAGGGAAGTGGTGGAGTCTCCTTCTCTGGAGATGTTCAAGACCTGCCTGGATGCCTACCTGTGCGACCTGGTGTAGGGAACCTGCTTTGGCAGGGGGGTTGGACTCGATGATCTCTGGAGGTCCCTTCCAACCCCTATGATTCTGTGATTCTGTGATAATAATTCCCTCCAGAGACCCTTCAAAGCTGGAGGCTGAGCTGCAGGGTGCAGCGGGGCTGGGTGCAGAGCTCCGTTCCCAGCCCTGTGGTGAGACACAGAGCTCCTGTGACGTGAGCAGGAGGCGGCTTTCAGACACAAAAAGCTGCAGAGAGGCGACCATGCTGGGGAACGCTGTGTCCCCACATCACAAGGCCCATCCTGCATCAGCCACTCGCTTCCTGCCCACACTCAGGGCCAGCCACACAGTTCCCATCCACTGCACCAACCTCCAGTTTGCAGAGAGGAAAGCAAAGCTGCAGCGGTCAGCAAGCAGACAGCAAACTGCAGTGGGGAGTCACAGCCCCATGGCAGCCACACATCTCCATTTTTGGGGGGGGATACCGACATAAAGCAGGAACACATCCCCATGAATCACCCGTGGTGGCACTGAGCCACCTGCCCGTATTTTGCCCCAAACAAATGCCCCACACCAGTGTACAATGCAAACACAGCCTGTGCAATTCCAAGCTCAATCCTGCTGCGGGAAGCTCGTGGGTGTTGTCTGCTCATTCCTTCCCTTTCCCCATCCCTTTCCTTGTCCCCAAACCCTCACCCTGGAGTCTTCTGACTGGTGGGGGCTGCAACCACTCATTGGAGAACAGTGGGTGCCTGGCTTTGTCCTGGTGCAGCCCCAGCAGCACTGAGTAGCTTTTGTACAGCAGAGCATCTGCTCGAGAGCTTCGAGCTGTGCAAGACGACCCCTGTGGGCTCTTAGAAACGTGTGGGTGAGCAGAGTCCAGCACAAAAGCCAGCAGTTTTCAAGCCAACATGGAGCAGGGCAAGGTGCAAATGGTCCCACCTGGTTCCAGCCCCACTGCTGACATCAAACTTCTCCAGGTGTGATTTATGCTGTCGGTAAATAGAGTCGGGTGATGCCGTGCCTGGTGCCAAGTTCTGCCTGTGTTGCTTCGCCCAGGGATCACATCCACACATCCCCACTCAGATTCCCTTGAGAACAGCGCTTGGACTCTTTCACAGAGGAAAACTCATCTCCCACCCCTCTTATTTCCCAAATATTTTCAAACCTTCACCAAACCCAAAGGCTGAATCTCATTCAGCCTCACACCCATGGTTTCATTGGGTTCCCACAGCAGCAGCATTGCTGCTGAGCCTTCCTCCCACCTTCAGCTCTCTCCCCACCCCATCCATGCTCAGTCCCTACCTGTGGCGACAAGTAGCAGAGCCAGCAGCCTGGGGATGAAGGGACACCGTCGTCGGCCACACAGTTGCCCCATCTCTCCATCCCCAACTCGAGGCAGCAGCGGCTTCAGCTGCGCAAGCGGTGGGGAGGACACATGCAAATCTGCCCACAAGTTCATGGGGAGTGGCAGCTTGGGGACAACGTGAGACCCTGCTCAGCCTCACTGTAACTCTGCAACGTATCCAGGGCTACTGGGGCAATAAATGAGGGATGGAGCCCGGATGCTGCCGCAGTTGGGTAAATAACAAACAGCTGGGCTGGCTATGCCAGACACCTGGTACAAGGAGCACGTGTTCCCATTGCCTGAGACTGCACCAAGAGAACGCTCCCACCCCACCAGGCTGTTTTCCCCCCTGCTTTTCTTGAAACAAAAATCCCAGCAGCAAAGAGGCAGAGACATAAGAACGTTGGAGACAGCCCCACGCCTGCAGGGGGACGGAGGATTTGGAGAAGCACGAGGGGTTGGGACGGTGCAGAGCCACTCACCGCTGCTGCTTCTGTGTTTCCAAAAGGGGGAAGCAAGAAGTGGCTTCTGGGGAGGCAGCAGCAAACTGCGCACAGCCCTGGGATGACGTGACTGCGAGGGGTCCACATGTGGGTGTGCGCAGCAGATGCACAGTCCCACACACACAGCCCCACACACGGCCCCACGCATGCTGTCAGCTCCCTGCTACGCTCTCACCAAGATTTATTTGCTGTTTTTACGACGTGGGGAGGTCAGGCCGAGCACGGGGCCCATGACAGTAGTAGGTGCTGGACACACACAAGTGAAACTTCCCCCCACCCTCTTCCCCCCCCCCCCTTAATGGCAGCACAAAGGCGACACAGGAATGGCTATGGGGTGGGGGAAGAGCGGGCACATCTCCCACAGGCATTGGTCCCCTCACATGGCCCTGGGGATGTCACAACCAGGATCTGCCCAACCTCAGGAGAGGGGGTTGGGAGCAGTGGGGGTGAGGGAGCAAGCTGCCCCAGGTGGTGCCATCCTGGATCTGCAGTGCTTGGATCTGCCCCCGTCCACCCAACTTTGCCTCCACTTGACCCCAATTCCTCCCTCCCCCCCCCAAAAAAAATAAAGGTTTTGGTTCCTCTCTTCTTGCTCCAGGGCAGCCCACTCTCTCAGCTGGCAGAAATGGGGCTGGGACCCCCAGTTGTGTGGGTGATGGAGCCACATCCCAGCCCTGTGCCAGAGGAGGGACTCAGCCTCATCGTCGCCGCTCATCTCCATGTCCCCAAAGGGGCCACGAGGGCTTCGGACAGAGGGTTGGACAAACCAGAGGTGGGTGGGGAAGCATCCGGTTGGCTGTACCCAGAGATGGCACCTCCATCCCTGAAGCCAAACCAGGGGCTGGAGAGGGGTCGGGTTTGGCACACAATGCACGTTACAGCCCTTCAGTTACATCCTGATGCTCCAGCGCTGTCGGCGCCTGTGGGGAGAGAAATCCTTCAGCTGGGACCGAGGGTTGCCCTGTCTGTCCATCTGTCTGTCCGTGCACCTCCCTGCAGACAGCGCTCGTCCCTTCTGTCCCCTTTCTCCACCATACCCGGACCTGGCGTGGGCACGTCATGCAGTGACAGAGGTGGGGACTGCCCCCCATGCCCCGGTCCCCCCGGGGGCAGACACGGCCACGGGCCACCCGCACCTGAGGGCCTATGTCACCTCCTCGGCTGTGTCCTCTGGCTCCTGGTGGATCTGTTCATACACGGTGCTGCCCGGTGCTTTCTCTGTCGAGGTCGGCTCTGGGTTGTTTTCAGGTGGACGTAGGCCCTAAGGCAGAATTGAAGTGCTTATGGCCCTTCCAACCCCGATGTGATGGGAACCCCAATGCAATGGGGACCCCTGAGCACAGCCCAGCCCCACTGCTCCTCACCTGGTCGTTACCTTCCGGGGGGCTGCGGTGTACGATCTCGGTGTATTGAGGTTCTGGGGGGCTCTCCTCTGTCGGTGCTGTGGGGGTGGCAGCTGCAGAGAGCAGGATGTCATGAAGGGGGGGAGGGCCAGAAATGGCCCTGATCACAGCTCAGCTCTGAGTGCTTTCACTGACCTGGATCTGCTGACTTCTCGCTGTTGAGCCGCCAGCACCAGAAGGCTCCGCCAAGGCTGACAGCCAGCAGGATGAGGGTGAGGACGATGTACCCCGACTTGGAGAAGGACACCTGTCCTCCTGGAGCACACAGAAAAGGGCTGAACCAGAGGATGGCCACGGAACCTTCACCCAACCTGAGGGCACCCAAGGGTGCTCGGACCCCTAAAACAGCCCGGCTCCTCACCTCCACTGCGGCAGATGCTCTGCAGGTCGAAAGGGACGACCTTCTGGTCAGCAGGGTTGCTGACAGTGCACGTGTAGGTGGCATTGGCAGTGCCAGGCTGCAGGGCCAGGCGCAGCGTGGTGCCATCCGGGGACAGCTGTGAGCGGTCGGTTCCCAGCTCCTGTCGGCCGTTGTCCCTCCTCCAGGTGACGTTGACAGCCCCTTTGCCAGTGCCCTGGCACTGCAAGGTCAGGTTGCACCACTCCAGGGTGCTGGCAAGCAGTTGGCTGTGGGTCCGGGGTCTCGGCACTGACTCTGCACCCAACAGGGAATGGGGTCAGCATGGCACGGCTCTGCTCAGACACATCACAATGTCCTGCATCACAGGGCAGGGCACAGCCAGCCCGCAGGTGTTTGGGGTGATGTGAGAAGGGACCCCAATATGGGGGGCTTGGGTTAGGGTCTAAAGGTTAGGGTCTAACCTAAGTCACCTCATTCTTCTGCACCACAGTTTCCCCATTTTAGTGTTCCCAAAGCCCACCCCCATTTGGCAGCCGCTCACCGTAGACAGAGAGGTTGAAGGATTGGTCCTCCACCAGCGCCGGGTGCAGTTTGATCCGTGCCCCATAGAGCCCACTGTCTCCCAGCTCCAGGGCCCCGATCCTCAGTGCTGTGGCGTTGGGCATTTCCAGGCGCTGCTTGAAACGGTCCTGGGGGTCAGGGCGCTCGAAGCCCCCTGGGCCAAATTCAGCCACCTGGATGGTGGCACCGGCACCAGAGGAGAAGCTCCACTCGATCTCCTTCACCCTGCTGCCAGGTGGCAGCACCGGGGAGAGCAGCACCGAGCCCCCCAGGACACCAGACACTTGCTGGGGCTGCGCCCGCACCTGGCCGAACAGGAGCTCTAGGGACAACAAGGCAGAACGTCACCAGGGTGCGGGGTACAGCGTGGGGATGGGCAGAAGGATCCCTGGGGACGGGTCCCACCCGGCACCGCTGTCCAAGCTGGAGGAAGAGGATGAGGAAGAGGAAGCATCGCCCTGCCCGGTTGCAGACACATCTGCTCTCTGCCCACCGCAATGTCCCTCTGAGGGATGGGGACACCATGGAGGCCGTGCGGAGCTGCTGCTAGCGGGGAAGGGAAGTTGCCAGGGTCGAGAGCTGCTGTCCAACAAGAGCTACGTGTTCGGATGCCGGAAGCTGCATCTGAACGGCGCGGTTTAGGCACTGCGGCCGGGCGCTCACCGGAACAATGCTCCAACAGACTCTGCGAGGAGTTCCCCGCCAGCATCTGCAAAACCTCATTGTCCGCCTTAAAACGCGCCTCGGCCCAGATGCCTATGAAAAGATCACAACAGTTTACGGCAGCAGGACTGGAGCGGACCAGGATGGATCTGGCTCCAGAGGGATGCTCGTGGGCACGAACCAGTCCTGCATCCCACTGCCGCGTGTGGGTGAGCGTGGGGACACGGAGGGGGGAGACCGTGGGTACCCAGGAGGGATGGAGCCACCTCCAGGACTTCGGGCTGAGCCTACACTGTGGATTTTTGGCAGTGCTCTGCAGTCACGCTCAGCACCAGCTCCTGGCACCGGCAGCTCCCGCCTACCTACAAGCTGTCTCCTCCACCGCCTCCAGCTCTGCCGGCAAGAGAGGGCCAGCATCTCCTCAAAGCCCCCCACCACCTGTCCCCATTCTACACACTGGGATACCCAGCAGTGAGGCCAGGCTTTACCCCATCCGTGCTGGGACCTGGGCAAAGTGTCCCCACGGTCCTCTCCTCTCCCTCCCCACCCTGACAGAAGCAGATGTGCTTCTATATTAAAGCAGATTAAAAGCAGACATCCCAGCGTTCGCTTTATAAAAAGCTCTCGTGCAGCCTGAATTACAAGCTGCTTCTTGGCTTTGCCGGGGAAGCAGAGCTCTCCACCACTGGGCACATGCTGCTCTGATCCTGAGCATCAAGGGGCTCTTCTGGGTCCTTCCATCGATCACAGCCTTACGCTGGGCTGAGCCCCACTCCCTCCCATCCTGTGTGATCCTTCCCTGGGGGATCCCCACATTTTGGAGCCCGGTTGTGGGCTGGCACGTGAGCCCTTTGCACAGATGTTGAGCAGATGCTGAGCCCCAGGACGCAGCGAGGGGAGGAAGGTGTGTGTGTGGGGGGGGGGGGGGGTCACCACAGCCCCCAGCACACAGGGGAAACGATGGCTGGAGAAAGCAGGAGGGCATCCGCCCCTCACCATCACCTCCTGTCCTGGTGGCTTGAGGCCAGGAGCCCCCAGAAATAGTTTGGGAGAGGAAGGAGGGTGTTTGCAGTGCACCCTGATCCAGCTCAGATCTCAGACCTCAGCAAAAGATCTCTGACGGCGATTTAAGCCCAGGGTTTATTTGACACACATCAAGGAAGCTTCATTCTTTCATCACCCCTACGCTCCCAAAGACAATATCTCTGATTGAGGGGGGCTGGAGGACCCGCAGCCCCCCCAAGCAGCCCCTCTGCCATCGTGCAGGGCCGTATTTGTGCCACCATAAGCACCCCGTGCCGCCACTGCCAGCCCCGTGCGACGGCCGCACGCTCCGAAGCCAATTAAGCATTAGGAAGATAAAAGCTCCCTGCTAATCTACCCGGACTAGAAGATGCTTTCTGTCGGAATTGAGGGTTTTATGGGAATTATTAAATGTGTGGATTAGCACGCTGGGAATTAAGGGGATTCCTCTCTCAACATTTTACGTAAGAGCCTCAGCAGGCGCAGCCCAGGGGCTAACGGGCTCCGCGGGGCGCAAACGGCGGCGGCGAGCAGAACCCCCCCCAGGATGGGGGCAGTGGGATGCTTGGTGCCCCCCGTTATGAAACCTCGCCGTGGAGCATCACGAGCTTGCGCGCCTGCCTCGGACCCATGCGGCCGAGAGCCCACAGGGATGTAGAACAGCAGGGAAGCGGCGCAGCAACACCACTGCCCAACCCGCGGGACGAGGGCGCGATGCCCGGGCACTCACCTGGCGCGAAGCCGAGCAGCGCCAGCAGCAGCCGGGCTGCTCTCCTGGCCAAGTCCCCCTCCATTCCTGCTCTGTGCGGCTCTGGTGGGCAGAGTCAGCGGCGGCAGAGATGGGGAGGAGGAGCAAAGCTGTCGCTCGCTGCAATCCGTAGGCAGCCGAGCGTCGTGGAGAGCTGTGCGCCTCTTAATTAGCTGGTGGGAAACGAGCGGGCGTGCGGGACCTGCACTGCACAGGGAGGGGGAAGCGTGGTTGAGACCCCTGGGCTCTCAGCATCCTTGATACCCCAATCAATGAGCAATGCTCCAATTAACAAGCCGTGACCCAATTAATGCTGGTGGCACTCAGTGCATCTCTGCCCCCGGCCCCCTCCAAAGGGCAGCTCTGCAATATTCATAGAACCACAGCAGGAAGCCTAAATTGACCCCGAAACCCCCTATCCCCAACTTCTGCCTCTTTTCATTCAAAGCCATTCTTTCTCATCCAATCACTATCAGGTCGTGTCCAAAATTGCTCCCGTTCCTCTTTATGAGCTCCTTTCAACTCTTTTTCCTGGGTATACCCCACACCCAGCTGGGCTGAGCTTCTCTGGGTGAAGAAATCAACATGGGAGGGGATGCAGAGTAGGAACCCTCCCCCCCAACCCATCACAGCCCCACATTGGGTGTCAGCCATCAGCACCTCAGCCACCGCATTTATTTCAAGCCTCCAACCAGCCAAGGACAAAAAGAGAAACGGCCTCAACACCACGTCTGTGTTTCGGTTAAGCTGAGCTTTAGGGAAGGCTGCTGGCTGCCCTCCACCTCCAGCAAAATAATTAATGTGCCCCCAAAGGAATGTTAATGCCAGACCTGCTCCTGGGGCACCTTCAGATACGGATGCTCAAGGTGCTGGGCAGCAAGATCGCCCATGGCCTCATGGTTGCCTCCCAGGTTCAAGGCTCAGCCAGGGCTGTCCCATCCCTCAGTTCCTCCCACATCTCTTGCAGCTAAGCAGGATGCAAAAACTGCTGAGCAGCAATTTTCAGCTGATGGGGGAGAGCAGCTCGCCCCACGGGAAGTAAGACAGCCGAGGAAAAAAAGAGGTTGAAGGCACCAGGCTGCACAGCACAGCCAGGATGCAATCCTACAAGCATCAGGTATGTGGATACAGCCAGAACTCAGTAGCCTCACACCACAACCCATGCATTTGAGCCCCACATGGCCACATCCAGCTCAGGGCCAACACTGTTGATGTGCCAGGCTGCACCCTGAGCACCCAAACCCTCCTGCATTGTCCCCGTGTGCACAGAGCCCGGGGCTGCCGCAGGCAGGGGACGCCTGTCAGAGGCAGGGAAGTCACACAGCTCTCTGGGAACTCAGCTCAACGTGACCGCAATCAGTCACTTCACCCACAGGGAGGGAGTGGAAAAGCACTGAAGCTCTTCTCAAAGCTGGGAACAGTGCACTCGCACCAGCAAGGGGGCCACGTGAGCTTCAAATTAGTTACTTTTTTGTGATCTCCAGCTATCACTTTGCAGCTGGTCAGGGTGAAGGACTGCTCCCCCACCAACACCAACCACAGTTTGATCTGCTCCTCAGCCAGAGCCATTGGTTCAGACCTGGGGCTGAGCCTGAGGGAAGCCACTTCCCATCCTCCTCATCACTGCAGCTGCAGTGATGGTGACAATGCCTGCTCAAAGCAGGGACTCAGAGCAGTTCCAGGCACCCAGAACAGTGTCCTCAGGGGACCCTCAGTGTCCTCACTGTCCCTCCACACCGCCACCCAGTACAGAGTCTGTGTTTAGGGGATACTGAAATCACTGTGCAAACCCAGGCTGTGCCTGCAGAATTCCGAGCACTGCAAACAAATGCCCTGCTCAGCTTGGGGCTTTCTCCCAGGTGAAGCCTCCTCTTGAGCAGGATCAGCTGTGAGGTTGTGGCTTTCCAGCAGAGGGGAGTGCAGCCTCAGGAATGGCCATACCTCTGCCAATATCCATGCAGTCAGGCAGGAGAAAACAGGTCATTTGGGGGGAGGATTTCGCAGGTGATACCACATCACAGGAACCAGATCCCAGAGCCATCCTCATGCTCCCACTTCAGCCCATAGCACAAGGGCAAATCAGGTCAGCTATGAGAGGCACCGCATGCAGCAAAACGGTCCCAGAAAACCCTGCATGAGGTGCTGAAGGGTTTGATCACTGCCAGCCTCACTGAGTCGCAGACCTGATTTCCACACGTGGCTGCAGTGAAGGCTCCATTAGCGCTCACTGAGTGCAGGCGTGCTGCTGGGGACAGATCCTGATCTGTGCCTCCTGTGGCCACTCAGGTCAGCTCCAAGGAGGCAAAACCTCATCTGAAAACCAAAAAGGAGCACAGCTCTGCATCTCTAATTAACAACAACAAAATTGTATCTGCAGGTAACGATTCGAACTCCTGGCCTCTGTGGGGAGGAAGCACACACAAGCACAGGCCCAAATATATAGAAGATATTTTGCTCCTCAAAAAGAAGCTGGGACACTGTCAAAATACAACAGGCTGCTGCATACGCATCCAGCAAAATAGGCCACGGCTCGACATAAAGTGCTGCCTGAGGCCACGCACGGAAGGGAAGCGGTGTTTCATTATTTATCACTATCAGTAACAGAGATCCACCTCCACACATAGCTCCCTCCCGGGGCCAGGCCTTAGTAACACCATTCGGCACTTTGCAGCATGGCCCAACTCGACCTCATCACCCCACGGCAGAGACCGGCGGGGGTCCCCAGCGCCCCCCACACCTCACCCTCCCCCAGCACACGGTCTCCTCGGAACTCCCCCGCCTCGTTAGCCCCAGCTTCGACCCGCAGCAGCCCTCCTGCCCCGTCGCCCCCCGCCCAGGCCCAGGCCTCGGGACTGTCACCATACCCCTCCCCCTTCCCCCCGCCCCCCGGCGTGCCGCCGGGCGCGCACTGATGACGCACAAAGCGCGCCGCCACTGCGCCTCGCTTTTGCTCTCTCGAGGCGATGCCCGCTAAGTCTCGCGGGATTTCCGACGCTATAAATAGCCCCACGGCGAGGGGCTGCGCTCAGTGCCCGCCCAGTTGAGGGCGGGGGAGGAGGGTTGGGCTGTGCGCTGTGGGAGGTGCTGAGGCCCGCAGGGATCGGGCCTGGTGGCTCTGTGTCATTTGTCACCCTTTCATTGCTGTCCCCTGCTTTGCCACTTGAGGGGTCCCCATCACTGAGGAGCCCTTGTGCACATCGCTGTCCCCCTTATCTCTCCCCCTGTGGTGGCAGCCCGGATCTGCAGACCTTGGGCTTATTTCAGAGGGTGCTGGTGGTGCTGTTTCTGTTTTAAACGTACAAAAAAACCCCAAAACAAAACAAAACAAAAAAAAAAACCCAAAACAAAACAGAAAAACCGTATTTTGGCTCAAGGCAGCTGTGCTCAGCCCGGCTGCTGTGTGGAGGCGTCCCCAGCCCTCCTGTCAGTGCTCTCCAACAACCTGCTGATTTATTAGGAGCGAAATCAGATTAGATTTTATCACCGGGTTGGGTGGCAAAGGGCAGGAAGATTAAATTCCAGGATGACAGTGGAGAGGGCAGGGGTGGAAAGTCCATCTCTGTGCTCCTACAGCATGCTATCCTTGGGCTCTGGGACACAAATGACGATTTTCATGTGAGATCTTCACTTTTTTGCCCCACTGTGGTTTTCAGGGCAGCTGGGAGTGTGATTCAAGCCCTGATGAGGGCTGTGGGGCTGCTGCTCAGCCAGGAACCCGTATTTGGAGAACTCCAGTTCCTAAGGCTGCCCCTAACTGCTGCCAGCCCACATCCTGGTCCTTCATGTCCCCAGAGCATGGGACAGGGGACTGGGACAACCCCTGGGCATTGCTGGGTTGCAGTGAGCAGAACTGAGGTCAGTTTCTCCCCACCCCGTTGTGTTTCCCCAAAACGCGGGTGTTCCCTCTTTGCAGTGCAGCAGGAATGAAGGCAAAGTGAAACATCGCCCTCCCCTGCTCCTCATGAGGCTGAGCTGCGCTGTGGCCGCGGGGAGGAAGAGAGAGGAGAGGGATTTCTGTGGAGCTGAGGAGGTGGTGAGCTCACTCCATCCCGGGGAATAAATGAGAATCCATCTCAGCATAAATGAGCTGCACTGTGAGGAGGGAGGGCTGCGTCCTGGGGAAATGCGGCTGCCTCCTTAGCGAGGTGGAAGCACCCGCAGGGCCTGAATTTTGGAGCCAATCTCATCTCCAGGTGTGAATTCACAGCTCTGGGTGATGGCCAGGGGAAAGCTGCCCACGCTGCGCTCCTCATCACAGCCTTTGAGTTAAAGGGGTTATGGACAGCGAAGAAACTTAATGCCTCCCCCTCCCTTCTTCTCCATCTCTCAGTGCATCCATCCCAAGCTTCCATCCATCCACCAACCGCACTCTCCACGCTCCAGCAAAAGCCATTAAGAATGACAAAGCACCTTTTTGTTTTAAAGATGGGTCCCGGGAGCAGCAGGCAAATTGCCTGGTTCATGCATAATAAACCAGGCGTGGAAACACACAAAGTAATAGGCTACATTTGTAGGGAAACAAAATCATTAAGCGAGAGCCTGTTTGCAGGCTTGTCTGCGGGAAATAAAACACAGTGAAGATGGGTGTGGAGGGGCTGCCAGCGTGCCCAGCCCCACTTGGCACCAGCTCCTGCCAAAAGCTTTGGCAAAAAATGGGTCAGCACCAGCACGCCCCATCCCTGTGTCCTCCTGGTCCCCACCAACACCCACGTCCCCATCAGCAGAGCCCCCAGCACCACCCTGAGCTGCTCCT